GCTTTATTGTAAATGCTTATTAAATCTCCACTCTAGATGTTAGCGGTGATAATAATGATTGTTTGCATTTTTGAAGGCTTCTAGTTTCTTTGAAACACAAGTTATCGAAAAAAGAAAGACATGAGAGCATAGAATGAGTAAAGTTATATTTTATGTATGAAAATCAATTCTTTAGTGATAGAAATCAAGGAGGAATCAGTCGAGAACGTTTGTGTGTGTTTCCATACAACGTTGTCCGCCTCTCCTCTTAAGGCTTGTAATATTACCTAAGTGGATTTGCTATACATGAGGTGGCGGGCTATAAGCAGAGCCGTGCCAGGCGGTGGACGGGCGTGCCAGCGTGCCAAGCTGCTTGGCAACGAGGTGGGCTCGGTATCGATCGAGGCAGCCTACTTTGGGGCACGGGGAAGCCTCTTCGTGCGACCTCTATTTGCTAACCAGAACTATCACTGTTACTATCTATTCTATAGACATCTTTACAACGTTTAGAAAATAGGTAAAAAGACTTTAGAAAGAGGGAATCACTATGACTTGAAATATTCCGTTGTAAATGATAATAACATTTACAACGGAAACATGATTGGCCGGTTCAACATAATTTTGCATACTGCCGTCATCACAAGACAGGTCTAGAAAATATCTATGTTAATATGTAACTTTTAGTAATAAACGTAATATTGCCATATAAAGAAGACGAAACAAAAAAAAATTACCTGCTTTACATAATTACCTTACCTTTCAAATGAGTAGAATTTGCCAATGAACGTTTGTAATAAACTCTTTATAAAATGTTTTGGCTATATCGCGCTCATTCTTTTGATGTCTGTTTTAAGTTATGTCATAATTTTATTCTGAAAAATGTAAGATTCTTTTGCTGTTATCAAGAAACTAAATATAAAATACAGGATGGCCGTACTGGTCCACTTGTACAGATCCTGCTTAAACGTACCTTAACCCCCATTTAAAGGTTTGATTTGAATTCTAAGTTCACCCGCTCGAATTCTCAGTAAGAGTTCCTAATAGTTAATATTATTTTAGTATGTTTTAATAATTGTCACAAAATATCCAGCATTTAATTAAATATACAAATTAGTCGGATCAACATTATTTACTTCGCCCGACAACATTTTGGCTTCACCGTTTCCATATCTTTTGCCAATTAAAACAAAGCGATGGGCGGCGGCGGCGTCTGTGCGTGAGTGGGTGACGACGTATGCGTTTACACCGCACACGGACTTTGTCTCACGATGCTCGTGTTATGAGAACAGGGTTACCATATCTCAGGATTTGTCCTGAGATTTCAGGATTTTTGGACTCTTCTCAGGATTGCGACTGCATTTTGGAAATCTCAGGATTTTTTGAATTTCCAATAAAATACAGCTTACGTTTTAAAGATCTCTTTAATAAAAAGTTAAACAAACTAAAAATAATCTTGTATTGGTAATAATTGCACAATTAAAATCAGTACTCTATTATCCAAATTAATCTTAACTTAATCAGTTTAATCATACTTAATATGTGAATATACATTTTTAAGTAAGGTTTTTTCTTTAATTATAGATTCAAATAATACCCCTCATGTTAAGCTATTATATTGATTTAAAAGTATAAGCAGAGAGTATATTGCGACTTTTTTAAATTGTTAACCGCGTTTGAGAGAAAATTCTCAAATTGTAAAAAACCTCAGGATTTTTCAATGGAAATCAAGCCTTTTCTCCGGACTTTTGATTTTATCATCTGGTAACCCTGTATGAGAACGTATCGTTCGTCGAGGCATCTGCGGCGGCGCGGCGCGGCGTCGGCGGGATGGTGGAGCCGCGAAAACAAACAAATATCAACTGGGAACCCGGTTCAAGGTGATTCCTCTCATTGTTCCTCCTACTGTGCATGCTTCAGTTACGCACACGCACGACGCGCCCGTTTACAGCTCTCAGAACAATACCGTCGTTAACTTAACGATATCCTGCAACTTGAATACGCTATTATTCTTATTAGGTGTTCCGCAACCGTTCCTAGTGACTAACATGTCGCTAAACCAACCCCATTCTAACGATCGAAAGTTGATTCATTTGTTAGTCGATCGATGGTAGGAAAAAAATATTGAACGATTCAGAAAAACTTTCAATAAGTATAATTTCGTTTCAGACCGCGTAATTGTCTTTGTCGTTTCCCGAACAGTTGACACTGCCAAAACATACAGATCGAAATCAGTACTGGGTACTGACGCGAATTCTGTTTACAACATGCTTTGCTTTAATTACAAACTGCAACGATGAATGTTGTCTGCAACATGACATTTTTTTTCGTAGTCGTAGTATCGCGCACAGATTTCGATAATTTTTAGAAATAAATATTTTTGTTTTGTAATCCATTGCAGTGGCATCATGCTGGAGGTTGTAGAAGCGTAGAACTGCCGAGTAATATATGTCTTATTTCTTTACGGCATTCTCTGTTTTTGATAATCAGGATTTTTTAGACCCATAATGACAGTATTTATGCCATCGTTGAGGTTCCATTGCTGGGTATTAAATTTCAGTATATATCCAATTATTTTTTGATAAAGTATCCGTAACGAACGGCGTCTCGCAAGTGATATGATTCGAAACCTATATTATCTAATTTGTCTTTAAACCAAACACTACACTGTTTATTTCTCGCGCTTGTTTTCGAAATCTGAATCTGAATCTGAGTGCACTCTGGCCGCACCCTAACAGGGCAAAAAGAAACATCAGTGTTACCCAGGTGCGCTCTAGAAGCCAGTGAACCATCTGGTGGCAGCTCGTCCTGCATTCTCGAGAGCTCGGCGTTTCGCGTCGCTTTAAATAGCGCGCCATCTACCTCCGAAAGGTTGAACCCAGAATTAGATGCGCCAAACTTAACCTGTACTTATTTTAGCAACACTCGACGAGCGTTCACCTCCCTCACTGTCACTGTATGCAACGCCTGACACAATACAAATACATGTAAAGCATACATTTTTTTCTGACATTTGAGTGAGTTAACAAGTAGGGTTGCCACCCGTACTCTATTATAAAGTATTGTACGTTATTTCGGGTAATTGTACTCTATACTTTATGCCAACAACAAAGTACGTGAAAATACTTTATTTAATGTGATTTGATTAATTTTACATAAAATATACAAAAAGAGGATAGGAAGAATTTTTGCGTACAGTAGTACAGTAACAGTATGTATAATATGTCGCCCTTAGCTCATTCCTGCAACTTTGCCGCGGCTGTTTGGCTTTGTATAATGGCCTTACCCATTGCGGATTGCGGAGAACTACAGATTTTTAGTAGCCACAAATTATTTATTTTATAATAGTTGTTATAAGCAACGTAAAATATATTATTAAGCTTACTAATAAAGTGGAATAAAAAGTACTTTATTTTGGACACAATGTACTTTTTTTTCTATATTTAATATCGAATGTACTTTATTTGGACATAAAAAAGGTGGCAACCCTATTAACAAGGTCACAATAATACGATAGGTGGGTGAGTTTGAAGGCGAGCGATGTTTGCTTAATTTTAAGTACTTCATTGACTGCCTTGACCACCAAGTTCGCTCCTGCTTGGAGTACTCTTGTCACCTTTGGGACGGATCTGCACGGTATCAGCTGGATGCACTGGACTCGGTGGAACACCGTGCGAAGAGACTCCGAGGCAATGACGCTCTCGTTGAGGCTAATCTCCAGAGCCTTGACCACCGAAGACGTGTAGCTTGCCTCTCGGTGTTTTATCGGTTACATTTCGGATAGTGTGCGGAGGTATTACATAATTTGATGCCCCCCTCCCCTTTCCACCACCGGACGACCAGGCGCGGCGAGGGCTTCCACCCTTATGTTGTCGAAGTTCCTCCCATTCGCACGAAGCGATTTGCTTCGACCTTCATTATGCGAACGGCTAGGGAGTGGAACTCCTTGCCGAGGTCTGTTTTCCCGGACCAATATAATCTGGACATCTTCAAGGCCAGAGTGAACAGGCATCTTCTAGGCAGGTGTGTACCATCCTAGGCCTCATCATCACTTTCCATCAGGTGAGATTGTGGTCAAACGCATTGCCTATTATGCATAAAAAAAAACTTCATAAACTGAGGTGTGAGGTGTAATATTTAACGAGGCCTAATAAAATAACTTCACACTTTTTGCTTACAAGTTGACATGAAAAATCGTGCACTACGCTGTCTGTAATTGATTCTGAAATTTTCAATCGGCGCACGTGAATCGTGTTCTCGCAACATAAAACTACTAACAATAATAGGGTTATTAAAGTTCCGTGAAAACTATATCTAATTCGTGAGCACGTTTATCCGACGTATGTGGTAGATGTGTTTATTCGCTACGACGAAAGCGTGTCACCTCTTTAACGTGGCTTTGCACACTTCATAAATTCATTTGCACTACACTTCCTCCCTGGCAAGATCCAGTTAAATTGTGGAACCGTGTGTTTCAGCTAAACCCTGCTGCTCCCACGAGTTATAATATAACAAAAAACCACATTCTTCTTAAACCTTGAATTAACTTTGCAGAATAGTTGATCACCCGCTGTGCGTGTAAAGGTCTTAAAAATTCGTGGAATACACTATTTATCGGTCGTAGGAAAACAAACGTTTCTGAATTGTTCCAACTTCTGTATATTTTATGGGACTTTAATGGGTAATTGCAATTATACATACAGCGTATTCGTACATCATTATTGTTTTCCCGTTAGCACCATAAATCTATTCTGCTGTTCGGGTGTATTATTAAGCTTTACGGTTGAAAATGGCTGTTAAAATCAGGAAAACGGTATATTTCGACGGCGCTAATTTAGATAATTCTGTATCGCATAAATATGTATTCAATAACAGACATTTGTTATTTTGAATATATTTTTCCTCTATACATCAATTTAAGTTGAAATTTCATCATTGATTCAAATTAAACTACGCCAGTACCAGTCAAATAACAGTATTTACTAATGTTCTGTTCCGGCAATAAATAAAATTTGCTAAAGACCATGGGCGACGGTGATCACTTACCATCAGGTGAGCCGTCTGCTCGTATGCCTCCTATAACATGAAAAAAAAAGTGACTCGGAGGGCCATGTCCAAATTTTGACAGCTCCGTAACGTATCGCATCGTCAAAGTTTCTATGAAAACTAAGCAGCGCCCCTATCGGACGTAACAACAAACTAGCCTTTTCCATTCAAAATTTGACGATGACCATACTTTACGGAGATGTCAAAAATTCGTGCTTGGGCCTGGGCCTAGCCCGAGATTAACATATCTTCGTAACTGGACTCCACTCACACTCAACACTCAGGAGGCTAAGCAGTGAAAAAAACGCTCTGATATAAGCTCAAATATTGAAGTCGCCAAATCTCCCTTTCCAGGCAACGGCACGATAGACTTCCCCGAGTTCCTGACGATGATGGCGCGCAAGATGAAGGACACGGACAGCGAGGAGGAGATCCGCGAGGCGTTCCGCGTGTTCGACAAGGACGGCAACGGGTTCATCTCCGCCGCGGAGCTGCGCCACGTGATGACCAACCTCGGAGAGAAGCTCACCGACGAGGAGGTCGACGAGATGATCCGCGAGGCCGACATCGACGGCGACGGACAGGTCAATTACGAGGGTGAGTCGCATCATGCCATCCCATGCAACCATATATATACCTACATACACTCTCCTGCTTGTGCCTACGTGCTCCGTCTTCTCAGATCCCTCGCATTGCTTTAACTACAGTCTGCGCGCAATGTTCTACGCCTGATAACTTTGCAACTCTTAAGTCCCTGCGACACTACTTCGAACGAAGTTCTAGAACCACTTTTTACCGCTCATGGCATGACGACCCCACACTTTACGCATTTTTCCTTTCGTTGTTACTTCCCATGACACTCGATGACTGTGTATCAAAGATATGGGAGTTGTAAAAACAAAGTATTGCATATTTATTCTCCCGTCTTTTCAATACCATGACCTCAGGCGCAGGCTACTAGTTGAGCGCAGACTATATGCTTTAGTTTATTACGTCGTTGCCACAACAAAATATGATCCGTAAAAAATGAAAGAAGGTAGCTTCGTCATAAACTACGGCTAACGGTTGAAGCTGCGAAGTTTAGAAGGGAGGAAGAGTTTGGGAGGAGTGGACGACGTGCGAATAGAATTACCAGTCAAAGGAATTTAAATAGCCCCAATTTAAAGTGAAAGGCGTGTACAGAAGTATCGTACCTCTGTTATTTATTTTGATTTAAAAAGAAAGATCATTGGTTCTTAATGATCAGACAAGTCCAGCGATATGGTAATCCTGTCCGCGACCGTCTAACAAACCTCATAACAGATAGATGACGCGATGCAAATGCAAGCTTCGCGCCACATGTGACCAGCATTTGCATCGCAATTGTACTTGTGTCACATAAAAATATGTTCCGTTATCACTGCTGAAAACACCTGGATGTTGTAATGTTTGTTATTTGCACAGTATTGTCAACTCGAGTACGAGGAGTGACGACAACTCGGTTTATTATATCTCGTTTGATGAGGCATGTGATCGAGTGGCCTTGTTATTTGACAAAGAGAGCATCTATCATACAGGAACTAGACTAGTCACGATATAGTGACGTCATCATCCAGTTGTATTCGGCGGTCCTCATACGAGAGATTCCTAAGCGGTCGTATGCGCACTGCCTATCACACACACCTCCATTCATTTATCCATTGCGTTTTGCCATTTAGACTTTAGGTGTAACAAGGTAAAGATTTTCTCGACAAAGTACGCGTTTTAAACGAATATTTATAGTACTAATCATCTTGCTACACCTAAGATCTGTAAGTTTCCACTTTTGTGCAAGTCCTAGGCGCGAACCTAGCTTAAACTGAGGACATTAATTAATACGAAAATGGTTTTGGTAACAAATCGTTCCTATCAATCGGTGCGATCTAATCATCTTTTGAGATTTGATTTTCACCTTCCTGTAAGTGTCAATAGTATCCTGATACAGTACAAGAGTCCAGCATGTGGTGAATGCCTTCACACTAACATCACGGCTTTTCTTATAACGCCGCGGTAGCGTTTACGTAAACAAGCATTCCGGTGTGCATTATTCCTTTTGCCTTGATAATAGAATTCTAGATCCGTTTAAAAATAAAATGGACTCATTGGTTTTGATTAAATATTTAACTAGCAAACCAGTGAACCAAAAGTTCACCAAAACCTGATTTAAAAAAAATGTATTTAATTAATTGAGAACTTCGGAGATTTTGTGTGGTTTCGTTTGAAATTCGTGATTTCTCGAAAACCGGAAGTGCTACGTTACTCAAATCCGGTTTGTAGTCTTATCAGACTATTCTTAACTTATAACTTAAATATTCTCTTTATCTATCTCTTACGGTTTGGCCGCTGAAACAGCACCACGGACAGACGGACTCGTCTAATAGATAAGAGATACTACGAGTTAAATTGCAGAATACCGTATATTGAAGTATTTAACATGATTATCGCAGAGAAACGTATGATATCTTTGAGTAGTTGATATCGCTACGTTCCATGTACTAGTTGGTATCGCTTGGTAACGCGGCTTGCTGCCCCGCTGTGCATGGGATCGGTGATCAGTGTCCTGTCTCGCGTATTGGAGGAGTCAGTAATTCAGTATGCCGGCCCTCCGCCGCCCCGCGCGCCTTCTGGAATAATCCCAAAACCCGCTTTAAACACAAGTTTGCACTTTCCGTTTCGCACATCGCGAATGGTAGCCGAGTCGATGTGCAATTAAAGGAGGATGTAATAAATCAAAATAATTTTTCCTCTGCCTGTCGCTCTGCTTTGCTTGAACGGAAATCGATCGAAATCCATAAAATTACAAGTCTTTGATTGCACATTTTTTTTTTTCATTCTTTTGGTAAGTTTGCAAGCGTTTTGTCCAAAAAAGCCACTCTGCTTCGCTTACGTCCAGTCGTTGTTTAGTACGCAGTTTGAGTTTATTGTGAGCATCGCATCGATTGGATGTAGGCGGTATACGGTATGTTGAGGGCGCGCGCGACGACGGGGCTCGCACTGTGGGTGACCGGCGTTCTCTCTCTTGCAGACTTCCATGCACTCGCCCAAATCATATTCGCTCGCGGCGACGGCAGCCGTTAGCGGTGCACTGCCACTAGTCCCATAACTAACCATAAGAAAAGACTCTACGATAACGCTGTGATCTCGAAACGATTTCCCCCGGTAGTGTGTAGCAATGCGAATGAATGCCCAACGGCCTACGTCGAGTGCGGTCCGCCAATAGGTACATGCCAGTGTTAATCTGAATGGTTTGCTGCTCGTTATTAACTGTTCCTTTGGTCGTTAGCTGCTCCCCTCCCCCTCCCCTTCCCTCGCCCGTCCCCCTCACGTCCTGATGGGTGCGTACGTACATCTCACTGTGGGAAGATCTCGTTTGCAATTCTGTCTGATGAATCCTGAGTGGCCAAGTCGAGCGCGACCAACAACTTACGGAAAATAATGTTCTCCGCCTAGAACACCACTACCTTGTTTATGACTACTCGAAGTCCAAACCACTGCTATCCGATAGCAATATGTATATTATGTAGTCGCCCGATCGTATAATTCGCCAAATCATGATGTTTTTGTCGCGCATACTCGCTTAACTTGAATTGACTTTTGTTAATATACCTAACCTGTTTTACATATCTACTACTTTTGGGAATTACATCTTGTTTTGGAATACTTATACTTCTCTTCTGTCCAGGATATTTATGGTTTAGCCAATTATAAGGATCGCACGATGACATAATATATTATAAAGATATTACGCGGACAGAATTGCATTCGTCGACTCACAGGGGGACGTGCAGCGCTACTTTGTAGATTGGTGCATGTGTCTAATACCCGGGGACCTGGCACGAGTTTTGAGTATGTTCGGAAACTGTCATTAGCCCGTTTCGTATAGTGCAGTTAAAATTTTATGACGGCTGTGAAGATAGTAGCGAGCGTTTCGTTTACTTTGACTTGCGCTAACTTCACAGCAGTGATTAACTTCGACGAAACCTTTGCGCCGGCATCGATGTTACGCAGATGACGTTGGGGTAGTTTACACGGTAACAGATCAGAATCAGAATCATAACTCGTGGCGGGCTCTCTGTATAGATGTGTCCCTGGAAATACCACCTCTGCCAACGAGCAGCAAGCCGGGCGCGGTGTGTTCTGGTGGTATTTCTCCGCACTCCCGTAGTGGCATGCGCCGTGCCTCGTGCCTCGTGCCTACTCACTCCTTCATGGACACTAGTCTAATAGCGGTCACCTTACTACATACTGCATCTCTCTCTTGTCGGACTCTACGTTGTGTTCTAATGTACCGGTATCTGTGTACTGCGGGCCCGCAGACTGCCGTCACTGATGCTCCCGTTTTTCTGTTTCAGAATTCGTCACCATGATGACGTCGAAGTGAGGTGGCGGCTAGTGTGTGTGTAAAAAGCAGAGAATTTAAATATACATTTTGTTTCATGACACACAATATTACCATCGTATCGGACCTGCATTTCTCTAGTGTTTGCGATAAATTAAATATTGTCATCGTTTCAGTGGAGGCGGGGAGGGGGTGCCTCGTTAGATTATAAAGTATTCCGTTAACTGAAGTGTGGAGGGGCGCGGCCGCCGCCCTCGGTACATTTTAATGTAAAATTTTTTCAAGTATGAGATATTTATAAAGTACGTGAAGATTAAAAATTTAAAAAAAAAACCCAAAAAAATCTACTGTCCCCGTGAGGGCGAGGCGTCGCCGTCGCCGTCGCTGCGAACATTATAATGTAACTATATAATTATGTCTGAATGTAACGTAACTCGGTGAACGAATAGATTAGGTTTATCGTTTATCGTATCTGTGACTCGATAAATATTATATTTCTATTGTTGGTGAAGCTGATTCTATCGAAACGGAACGTGATCCGCTCTGTTGTTCTCTTCCCACGTTTGATTCGTTCTGTTATTCAATTTTACAAAAGACATACTGAAAATAAATGTTTCTTCATTTTTAGGTGAATAAGCATCCGTGTTTCATTTCCCCCCGAGCGGCCCGCTGTCGTCTTGTCGCTTTTATAAATATTTCATATTCATTCATGTGATAAAACTTAATTAATGATAATGCTAATTTTACGTTAAGTATATATGTATATTTTAAAGGTTATGATAATAGGAAGGGTAGGCCGGTGTCGCTAGCGTCCCGCTCGCGCGTCGTTCGCGCGTCGTTCGCGCGTCGCTCGCGCGTCGCTCGCACGTCGCTCGCACGTCGCCCGCGCGGGGCCCGGCGCGGCACCGAACGTTTCCGCAACAAACATTACTACTATCTATCGCATTTTATTTTTCTCTTGTGACCTAGATTAATTCCTAGTGTATAAAGTGAAATCCTATATAAATACACAATAGCAAAACTTGTATAGATTACTCTTAGCTTAGAAATACTTGTTTTCTTCTACGCGAACACTATACATTGAAATAAATAAATCTTTCTAAACGGATGTATGCCGCGTTTGATTACACTTGTCGTTCGGCCGGGGATCGTGTCATCGTGTCGTCGGCCGAGCCCAGGAGCCCAGACTCGCCCACCTACCGAGTAGGTGGCGCATGGCTTAGCTTAACTCGTCACTTAGCACCCGTCTCTTTATCTCATATTAACATGTAGACGAAAATTAATAAGAAATACAAAAAAATATGTGCAGTGACATTGAGGTTCCTTCGGTTAAAAGTGTCGAGGTCGCCGCTCACCGATAGAACAGCGTCGAAAGATTTAAACTCAGTATATTTAATATTCCCTGTTCGAATTACACAATAGTTAATACAAGTTTATTGAAACGTATGGGTGTATAAAACTATCGGTAATCGGCGACCTCTAGGCATCCTTATGCACTTGCCATTGTCAGATCTGATCATTACGTGTACCCGCGTAGG